TGTGTGTGTGTGTGTGTGTGTGTGTGTGTGTGTGTGTGTGTGTGTGTGTGTGTGTGTATATGTATACGTAGAAGCATAGAATTAGCAATAAAGATTAAAGACTAATCTGCCTTCGTGGAGAAGGTCTCGTACTAATACTAAACTGTGACTTATTATATTTCAACCCAAACAGGCATATTTCATGTCTGAATTCTAGGCACCGCAAAGCAATTTTTTATAACATGTTTCGACCTGCTGGAGTGGCGTGCGCTTGATAATCCACAAATATCACTGTCGACGCGATTTGCAAGTATCAAAGTGTTGTAGTGTTGAGGTTTAAGTCAACTCATAATAAGTGCAGCGTGCCCGTCAAATGCACACTTCATGCAATAAATACAATAGTTTCGTGCGATTTCGGTTTGAATGCGCTTATATTATTTTCTATAATGATTACAACTGATAGCATTCGGGATCTGCATTTCAAGTTTCATTATTTCTTCTGCGAACGAGAGTAATATTTCACAATAAAGCATTTGTCGACACCACACACAAGCGTACCACAACATAGGCGATGAATATTATGTCTGTCTGGATACATCAGAATATTCAAAATATAACTCTTGTCTGGATATTTCCCATACCTGCAGGCTTCGGCGATTGTCGCTGACATATGCACGTCATGGCTCTTATTAGAACCCTGGTACGACATCGTGTGACGGTTGACCGTGTCGCTAGAGATGTTAATAATGCACCTACCGTATCTCGAACTTTTCAGTAGTGAAGACACCTTGCTCTAAAGTGTGGCCACTTATATATATTACTACACTACCGATCAAACATGAATAAATACAGTAACAAGAACAGCTTAGGAGGATTCTGCCGCTGGGGCTGCATATGTATATGCGGTTGTCCTCCAGCCTCGTACGCGTATAGTTGTTTTCGTGACGGAATGTAAAGGAAACAAGCAAAAATATTTAAACGAGATATGAGTGGAAGAAAATTGATACATCTGATTGGATTATTTGCGCGCCTAAACATTGATTGGCTACCAGTTCTAAGATAAGAAATTTGGCGGAACTAGCGTCAGTGATGTCAAAACCAGAACCACCGCCCAAGCGCCCACCAAGTTGCCCACACAAAGCAAGCGGGATGAACTTGGAACAAACTGGCATGAAGAAGCCATGCCATAAGGGTGACGTGGTTCATGTGTATGTATATAAAACTGCAATACATAGTTGAGTGCGGTCACCTGGTGATATGATCCAAACTTCTGTTACCGCTGAAACTTGAAAGTGCCCCTTGCCAATAATTCGTTTGCATCGACAATCAGACACATTTAAACTTTTGATATTATTTAATTTATCGTGGAAAAAGTTTTAGAATGAGAGGTCATATACGTGCAAACTTAAACTGCATACCAAACTACTTCGCTTCTCAAGCAGGTTTTAGTGTAACATGTGCTGTCACACTAAAAATGAACAAATCTACGCATTACTGTTTAACGTTTAACTAGTTGGAGCTATATAGGTACACTAGAAGGTTCTATATTAAGTACCGACAGATCCATGTCGTAATATGCAAGGTGTGCTGTTGTGAAATACAAAGTCGGGGTTCTCATAGAAGGATTCCGTGTCGGACACGTTCGGAAGATATCAATTCCGATAAATTTATCAGCCTATTTTTATGAACTTGGGTTTGATGCATTCTGAAAAAATCTGTCCCTGGCGCATAAATCAAACACTACCGTGAACTCCACATAATAGAAGGAGTTATAAATAGTTTGTAGCTTCATAACTATTGAAGCCAGTGCGCTCCACATGCCACGGCAAGAAAATTACAGTGTAGTTGAAAAGCATATTGTGCTTGGGTAATGTCTGACGAAAATATGGAAGTGGACGGTCCGTTTAACGCGACCTGAAACTTCAAAACAAGGTCTTATAAAATTGTTCAGTAAAACTACCCTATTA